CTGAAAATAATGTAATGTTAAAAAAGTTTAATGATGCACACCCATCGCTCATCTTCACTTGTGAAGAAGAATATGATGGTGGACTACATTTCCTTGACGTCCAATTGAGCAGAAGAGAGGATGGTTCACTCAAGAGAGATGTCTATAGAAAACCTACATCTGTAGGACAATATACACATTTCCTCAGTTATGTACCAATCCGATACAAAATCAATTTGGTCAGATGCCTGACGAATAGAGCAAGATGCATCTGTACAGATGACTCCCTAGAAAATGGGCTAGGATACATCCAAAATACGTTGGTCCAAATTGGTTATCCTAGTAGATTTGTAAGGAGACACATGAATGCCAAGTACAATAAAGAAAAACCGACAACAGTTAAAAAGAAACAACTGTTTATGAAACTGCAATTTAATGGGGACGTGGCTAGTGAAGTCTTACATCTAAGATTATCGAGAGCAATAAAACGGACTTATACTGCCGCCACCCTCTGTTTGTCATTTTCCAGCCGACCAATTTTGATTGCTCAAGTGAAAGATAAGCTACCTAGTTGTGCCACTTCTATGTGTATCTATAAATTTAGTTGCTCCTGTGGAGAAAGCTATATAGGCCGAACAACTAGACAGCTTAACAAACGCATTAATGTGCATCTTCCTTCATGGTTCGGAAAAGGTCAAATAAAGTCCATACGAAGTTCTATTTCAAATCATTTGATTGATAGAGGTCACCAAGTGAACAAAAGTAATGCCTTCAAAGTTATCCATCGCATTCCATCGAGTCTTTCGAACGGAATCAGAACCCGTCTTTTACGCTTAGCCGAAGCTATGGGAATTCGCGAGAATAATCCTAGTCTTTGTATACAAAAGAAATTTGCTCTACCTTTGTCTCTCCCTTGGCCTAGGTGAATTCTATTCAAAACCCTCCCACCCGTTCTTATCATCCATCTCCTTCGTACTTTTATGATATTTATTTAAACTCTGATTGTCGTTCCATTTGATTTGACCTAATTTATTTATTGAATTGTCTACATATATGCATACACTAACTTTTCTTATCACCTGTATAAGCCTTATTATCAATATTTTGTTATCATTATAATCATCGTTATTAACTTCGTTCAAAACATTTACCACATTATTATTATTTGATCCACAAAATCACCGTCATTGGTTAAAATTTTATATATATGTCTATGTAAATTAGAGTAAAGCCTGAAGAACATCTATTAAGTTAAATAAAAGCTTTCCCCATACCTGTACCACACAGTATTTCAAAGGGAATAAACTTTAAAATTGCTTAAAGATCAATGTCTTAAGGCATTATGTGCAAGGAAACAATTATTCAGAATGTAATACCAATAGGTTTTGAATTTACAAAAATTATTTAGGATATTAGTTAACACAAAGTTTATAGTATTGCATACTTTTGTCACATGATAAAAATCACTGTATAGCAAGTCTGTTCCAGTTTATATGACATTTATGAGGAGACATAAAGAAAACAATAAATCCAAAAGATATTTTTAAATTATATTGAGCTTTTTTTTAAAGTTATCTACCCATTATATATATCCAAACCAAGTTCACTTTTAACGGTTTGAAAAAATTTGGGCATTGGGTATATGATATTCATTATAATAGAGGATTTTGTATTTCCCAATGAATGAAAAAAACAAAACGAGATTGTCTTTACTGACGTTTCGCTATTTAATGCTAATAGCTTTCTCAAAGTATTATTAAACCGGAATTTACAAAATCTCAGCATATATATAACAAAGAATTAGGGGGTGAGAAAAATATAGACTTAGTTCAACTTAGAAGGACATATTGAAAGTCAAAATAACAATGAAGGTCGTTCAAACCAAATATCAAAGGTAATAGTATATCTGTTATTATATCAAAATAAAGTTTACTAACTTGATCATCATAAATTATTTAAATTAATCCCAGCGTGTTAAGAAAATCAAAACAAGATTTTTCTGAACGTTTCGCCGTGTAAGCCACAGCTTCTTCATCAGATTTATTCGGATTATAATTAATCATCAAAATATACAATTTATATATATATATATATTTATATAATTTATAATGAATCAATCTGACTCGGCGCACAAATTATTCCAGGAAATTCGTAACACTTACGGTCTGGAAACCTATAACTTGATCATCGTTCGTTAGTCTGGGGTCATTTTTGGTTGTCAAGTTCGAGAATAGGTAAAGGTAACCAAACTAAGTGTAGAATGTGAAATACTTGATTATCGTTCGTCAGTATGAGTACGAATAAATCTGATGAAGAAGCTGTGGCTTACACGGCGAAACGTTCAGAAAAATCTTGTTTTGATTTTCTTAACACGCTGGGATTAATTTAAATAATTTATGATGATCAAGTTAGTAAACTTTATTTTGATATAATAACAGATATACTATTACCTTTGAGATTTGGTTTGAACGACCTTCATTGTTATTTTGACTTTCAATATGTCCTTCTAAGTTGAACTAAGTCTATATTTTTCTCACCCCCTAATTCTTTGTTATATATATGCTGAGATTTTGTAAATTCTGGTTTAATAATACTTTGAGAAAGCTATTAGCTTTAAATAGCGAAACGTCAGTAAAGACAATCTCGTTTTGTTTTTTCATTCATTGGGAAATACAAAATCCTCTATTATCTACCCATTAAGCTGAAACTCCGCAGAACAGAAAGTAAGAAAAGATTAGTAAGATAAGTAAGCATGAGTTTTAACATTCAGTCAGTTGGTTCTGAGCTAGAAACTTCAAACTACTTAGACCAGACTAGGATTCTAGATAGTATTGTGAGCACTTACAAACAAGACTGCCTGTGATCGTCATTGAGCTACTGCTAAGTAAATCCAAAAAAAAGAAACATGAGACAAACTATCTGAAAGAACACCTAAGGACGACCAGTGGTAATGACATCTAAAGCCTTTTAGTTTGATAACATGAAAATAATTGAAAACACTCAAGTGTATCTTGGATAACTGAATGATTTATTTACATGAAAAGAACATGCGACTCAGAGATGAAACAAATTTCTGCGATTTTTAGTTATACAATCGCGCTTACTAAAAACTAGTTTCGGCAATATGTTCAATAATTTAGCATTTAAAGTGCACTACAACAAGCAGATACAGTACAAAGTTGCTAAGATTAGTGTGTGTTAATTAGAATACAATGGAGACATAGTAAAGCTGAATAATTATACGTAAGGAGACAAGTAATGAGATAAAATGCATAGTAAAGGAATGATTATCAAAATGAGCATGGAAACAGAAAATATGTGGTATTAGATAAGTCGCATCGGATATTTTTATAATTTTTACCATCACGAGAGGCTGAATAATTTTTTTTCGTATACAGAGTTTCAACTTCTTTGTGATGACTGTTTTAAGAATAAAGGATGAAGCCCTGTAGATAACTTTAAACGAAGGGGATGTTGAGACAGAATAACTAATAGTAACAAGATGTTCAGTTACGTGCACTCTCGTCTCTTCATAACCAATGAGAGTAATACTCTTGTACTAATTAGCACAAAACTCATGCTCAAGGAATTATTATTTCCAACATGAAAAGTGAAAACTCTGCCAGTTCATGTACTCCTGTGAAGCTCGATACAGAGTCCTGCATGCATGCGGTTACAAGGTAGTGGGAGTGAATACGTAACAGTCGTAGTAAATGAAATTACCGAAGATTGTTTATTGAATTACTTGTGTCTCGTTTTTCTAATATGCTAATTGGGATTTCCGATGAACTAGATACATGGATTTAATAGCCTACAAGTCGTTTTTTAGAAGCGTATACCAGTCTAATAAAATCGAATCAACATCTCCCTTTCAGTAAATTGAAATTTTCTTTCAACCTTCGTATACCATACATACACCCATATGAAATCCTGCAGAAATACTCAAAGATTCCAGCTAACACACTTCACTATAGTTAAATTAGGAGTGAGCTACTGAAATAAACGAAATGCCCATATAACGGCAGATAGAAAATAAGTGGTGTTCAGTAAAGTATTTCAACTTTTAAAACAGTCATGGGCAAATAAATCCGTATCACTGCTTCTGAAATATTTCATCAATTTCTAATTCTTTATATACTAAGAATTCCATCTCCCAGATTCAGGGGAGCATTTATTGACTTTATGGATGTGTTCTGTTTTACTCTGACTGATCTCAGACTTACTTCAACAAAGGTTATAAATGGGTATCAAAAGCGCAACTATAGATAAAATAAAACGCTTCCAAAGAATCATAACAAGTATTTTAAACATTATTTACATTAACCGTAAAAGTAGTTCACATAAGGGTAACTTTCTAGTCACATCTTTTACTAAGCCTTAGTAAAGGATGAATACTATTTACCACCGTTGTCTTTTTAGTCCACCACTGTGTGCAATAGATGTGAAGAGTCCTAGTTAGTTTGTATAGATAAGATACAAAAAATGTTTTATAAGAGTATGTATAATATACAAGTAACAAACAACTTAGAACAAATTAAGAACAGATGATAAATGGTTCTTGATACAGGAAAGGAGTGACGACACATTCCTTTACCTCCCTAAGCCAGTAGTACGACTGGTAAAGAGGGAAAGTCAAGCATGAGGCTAGCAACCCTATCCCGTAAACATAAATACTACTGCTTCCGAAACTTCAAAGCTGTAGCTTGAAGCCTTATGTTCCACAGGAAACGTAAAGGAATAAAAAATGCAGTAAAAGGCAAAAAAAATGCGTTGTGCTCAGGAACAATGGCTATAAACCGAAACTCATCGAACTTTTGAAACTCTAAACACCTTAGAAACTACTGCATATACTTAAGATACCTTCAGGGATTAATTAAATCAAATCAAATCAATTAAAATGGTAAATAAACACACATGTTATTAATAAAACTGGTAAAACTACTTTGATTTACATTTCAGCATACAACAAAACTCTTAAAAATTCTACTATCCATACCATTGTTTATAAAGAAGGAACTTACGTTCGAAAACAATTGTCTCCTGTTAACTGCCGCAAACAGAATGAAATTGACAAGAGAGAATTATCCTGGCGTTTACGTTTTCCGTCATAACCTTCTAGGATATACCGTCGACGGTTAATCACATTACCGACAGCAGCAAAACATGCCAAATTAATACTGACAAAGCCAACTTTATAAAATGACTTGCCACCTTTTGTTTCCTGAAGAGACAAGTCAATAAATTAAAAAGTGATGTAGTGTTAGAACAAAGATAAGTGATAAGTACTTCCTCCTGTATTACGATCAGGCATTGTAGTCTAAGTGGTAACACTTCTGACACACAGACCAACGTATTAACGGTAATATACACCCTTTAATTAGGTTTTTGTCTCACTAAATCCATCCAAAAGCGAATAATCACTAACTCAATTCCAAGGTTAATCCTAACCTAAAACAATTCACGACAGTAAATCATGTGAGGTCAAAAATACATAGGAGGATGAGAAATTTAAGTGAATTTCACTTTCAATTAGTATGTTCAGTTAGGCGAGATGATGGGTAACTTAACAACAAAAGTAAATAGACTGCGTGATTATGTACAGCTTTATCTGAGCAGTATGAAATAACGCCTCTCAGCTGTTTGAAGCACTTCACACCGTAGACTACCAACATCAAAAAGACAGTAGGCAGTCTCCAGCTATCACCTGTTTCCAAAAATACAATCGAGTACAACATTTGGTTTATTTAATCAGATATTTGGCATTTTTCTTCTTTCTTTACTTCGCCTATCTCCTACGGGAGGATGAGCCGGCTTCATGAACATCTCGAATCATCGCTGCCAAGGCGCGACGATCTGATGCAAGGTTTTGCGACAGGGTTATCCAATTCTTGTTCCACAGACGGAGTCCGTAGACGGTTTGTAGCCCCAGACACTCCATATCAGCCTTGACTGTACCAAGCCATGTTTTCAGCTGTCCACCCTTGCGACATCGCCAAGATGGAAATGGCGAGGGATTTAGAACTGATTTGACCAGATAGTCATCTGGTCGGCGCAGAACATGGCCAAACCACCGAAGGCGACGTTGTTGGACCAGTACTGGAATTTGGTTGATGTTGTAGAGAGTTCATGAAGTTTCATGGGAATTAGGTACGAGTGATGTCCCCAGCATCGCTCGGCCTTTTGTTTGAGAGTGCAGCTCTAGCCTTTACACAACTAAGTGTCACCTACAAGGCAGTAGGAGTGGAGTAGGGAGTCCACTATCCATTGGCAGTCGGTGACCGGAGTCCGGTTCATACGCCTTTTTGAATGGGGCCAGACATCCAATAAGCCCTTTGTCCATATGTCTGACGGTGAGCTCCGGTGAGCTTCATACGCCAGTCGTTGGAGGTTTGGAATCAGGGTTCAGCCATCTCCCCTAGACTGTCATCCAATGGACAGTCGACCCGGTGAAGAGCGCCGGGCATCTGCTTTTGCCCTCTCACTTCGGTGCAAAAAAACACCTCCGCCACGTGAAGGCAGTGAGTAGGACTTCCTCAGGAGAGGCTATGTAAGACGCCCGGTCACATGGGAGCATTTCAAGAGGTGTACGGAGGGGTGGCCAACCCGCAGCGCAAGGCACCCACTCCCGACCATCCTGAGGCTTTGAAGGCCTCACTGAAAACACTCGTTATATATGAATGCCTTTACGAGATTATCATTTAGACACAAGCGTCATTGATACTCTATTTAGAGGAGTGTCACACGTGTATAGTGCGTCAGTGGTACAGTGGTTAGGACTCTCCCCGACCATGCATATGGTCCGAGGTTCGATCCCCTGCCGACGCACACCTGATATCTATGGTTGGTCTGCAAAATTTGGGCTACCAATATCCATGCTGAGAATTCCATACTTGTACCAAAAATACAGTGTGGAATCAAGCTGTAAATCAAAAATAATAATAACAATAATAATGACAATATCTCACTATATTCCTAAGCCTTCCTAGTAAACATCAAATATAGATGAAGATGAGTCAAACTCATGATGTGAAAATTATTACATGAGGACAAGGGCGAACGGTGAGACATGTGGAATAGACCGCATATGTAAAAAATGTCCTACTTCGGAAGGTCAAGTGCGTAACAGTTTCATGTTCGTCAACTTACGCTCATATACAAAGTACAGAAAACATAGACGTGTAGAAAGTGATGGTAAGCCAAATGAAACTGTCTTTGGTGAATTAACTAACTTACGCAAAAACCAAAATCAGAAGGGATATTTAAATGTGAGTTAACGAATATGATTAAGTTTTAACACCTCAACGATTACGAAATGTAATCTTTAAATAAAATTTTGTGGCAATAGTTGAGGTGTATTCGCAAAAGACGTTAACGGATAAGGAGGACTATCTAAGTATTCAGGCAGGGCACTTTGTATCTCACTTTTGCTAACACACAACATTCTAACCTGAGAATAAGGAGAGAAAATATTCACTAGTGTTTAGGATAAGGAATTAACGTGTACATTGATGATATATGTGGGCCAAATTTCCCACGAGTTGATTATCTGTCGGGTTATTTATCAAGATAAGGAGTGACTGCATATTACAGTCAAAATTTAATGCTTTAAGAAGCCATCTTGTGATTTATAATCCTCCCACCCACCTTGTCGAACAAATTATGCCTTAAACAATCAGACACTTTTGAGATTATGACGGTCATAAATTCTCAATTTTACAGGTCCACATAGTGCAGCTAAATGTCCCTACAGTTTTACTGCAAATACCCAACTTGTTTCTAGCTAACATAGTTACTATACACAATGGACAACATAAACATTTTCTGCCAAAAACTTTTCACACTCGACCTTTGCAGATAAACTTACCATACGAATGGACACCTTCAAAATGTTTGGTTCCAAAATAGTTGTTTCAGCATCGCTTTTGAATTTGCAGTGGAATCGGTGCTCGCTATTCCACGTTACAATATTGTTCCGAATTTCAGTTCTGAGTTGTTTAGAATATAAAAAACGCCTACCTGGGAGAGTACTGTGCGGAATTCCGACTATTCAGAAGCCGCAGTTTCGCAAAAGTGACAGAGTTTACGTAGGGAACAGCGGTCAAACTGTGCAGCTTCACAATGACCTCGAAATTATAGGACTGCTGCCTATTGAATAAAGGGACGCATGCCATATCCTTAATGTTATGCCATTTATCAGTGTCTTCATAAGACTACAGGAGAATAGCAACAGGGGACTCTCTACTGCAAGAAAATCCCTCAGGCTAAGCATAATGCCTCAACTTTTCCATACCTTGCCAGAGAAATTCTAAAAGATTGAAGGTCATCATTATAAACATTTCGTGCATTATAACAAAAAGGTTAACATTTTATGTCACGGATGTCCTAAAGATTTCAGAGCAAGAATGGGGGCAGCGAACTAATTGTAGTTATTTTCCGGTTGGTTTAATCCTAGTAACTTTGGTCACTATGACTCTAAATAGATTTCAGAATTAGTTGCGTAATGATGAGGGGAGCATTCATTAGTACGAGTCCAACACTATCTTCCTTTCGACACGCTCTTTCAAAAGACTTATTTCCAGTGAACATTAGCCAAATAGATGCTAACGTCGGTCATCCTATAGGGTGTGTTCTTAGAGTCTTAGTGAGATCTTTGAAGGGTTTGCAGTACTGAATAAAGCATGCTTAGCTCAACTTACGCTTCTTGTTCCATACATTCCAGTTAATTCTAGGCTCTTCCTTGGTTTGAAGTGTTATATTGAGTTGCCTTTACCTTCATTCTAATAACAGCTGGACGAAAGCCCATCCTTTCATGGCTCATCGAATTTTTCCTTAGGACGATTCAGTGACTACTTGGGCTTAGGCATTCAAAATGACGTTAGGAATGTCATTGGAATAGCTCAACTCACGTGTTATTGAAAACATTTTCTGTTCGCACTAAAATACGCATATTAGTTGGGCAATCCACGGCTTAGACTATGACCTATTCTAAGCACGACTGTAGTGGGTAATATACCTAAACTGCAATTATGTCAAATAGAAAACCATATCCAGAATGAATTTCAGTGATCCATAAAAATTTTCTGTAACAGCTGATATTCTCCCTCCACTCTCCAGCTGTATGGACTAGATGTGCCAAAGTAACATTTACTTGATCTGCCACTTACAAAAACCTTAAGTACTGATAGCAAACATGTATACAAAAACCGTAATCAAGATAGAATGAAGTTTAACTTTTTGGAAGAAGATTATCGCCACATCTAGATAGAAACAACTGAGTTTCAACCAGTGCAATGGAAGCACGAAATAGCGTCAGGCACATACTTACTGAAACAGAATTGAAAACACTTTGAGTATCTGGTGCTAGATATTTGTGCAGCTATTTTAGCTTTTATATATGTTTCGAACTCTGATTTCTCCGGCCCAGGAAGGTGAAATTCATCACTATGATTGTCCTCTGCTGTTTGCGCGGTTCTTAAAAGAAATAATTCTTTCTCTTGCCTTCATCTGGTCATTAAATGTAAACATTCTCGCGCTTTGGTTTGTCTAAAACTGGTCTACACAGAGTTTTGTTCCCTAGAGAGTCTGTTAGTACTTGTGTACCAACTTTAAACAACAAGCTGTCACTGAGTTACATGGATACACTTGATTCTCCACATATATTAAAAGTTATGACGATAGCCTAGTATGTGGCAGATACCTTTCTGCCAGATAAGTGGTTCCCACAGGATGCTGTCGAACTTTATATAAGCTGTTATCTTAAGAGTCACTATGTGTTGAAGTATTCATAAACTTAACTCAATAATTATGCTCACCGTATACAATCTCTGTTGTCAATCACGTCTCATAAACCGTTAATGCCCAGCTCTCGCTACGCTCGGGCCCACGCTGTTCCTCGAAGATTTCAGAAACGCTTAGTTATAACGGACGAAAAAACCAAAACACCGATCTGCCGTTTGATATTTCTTTATTGTTACACCAACATATAAAAAGAATAAGCGAACTAAGGTCTGAAAACAAATATTACAATAATAAATCATAAGATTACTTCTGATGGTTGTCTCCTGACTTCTTTCTGAACAGCGACCGATGAGACGATGACTGTCGTATTGATGCCTCCGCGAAAATTAGGGAAGTTGATTTTAAGCAAACAACCAAGAATTGATCGTTCAATCTTCAACTCCATTGACACTCCCCGGAAAAAAAGGGATCCAACCCTTTTTTCCTTCACGACCAATGCACGTTGACTTGGATGCCATTGCGAGAACCTGGGTCACACGGACAGAGCTGAAATGGAAAACAAACAGGAAAGCCAACACACCACAAGCATACTCACAGCACAATCTCACACATCAATGACGACCTGCGCCTCCAGACAGAGACCTCCACTTGACATCTTGCAACACAATCGCCACTTGCTAGAATGACTCTTGCAGAATGCGACGTGACCATAGCACCACCTCACGATACTCTACGCACATCCTCGTATCTACTCACTACCAATTACCACTGAAATCGCTTGTCACTCATTCTGCCTCAGTTCTAGTAGCGGTGACGCATGCGAGCCTCAGTCGTTTACACTCTTTCTTCCTGGCGTGTGGGACCGTAGCTAACAATTATCTCCGTGTGCATTTCATTCTCAGAAATAGCCTAGCCTCCCCGGCGTATACGCCCCATCTGCTGTCCTTAACATCAATCAATTCATTCATGGATGTAGAAGAGTGAACACAACTTCAGAAATAATCACGACGAAAATTTTAACAAAATTATGCAATACAACAAGACACGAAAACAACAAGTAAACACAATGAATCCAAAATACACCAATTGATATGACACACCACACGTATATACAAATAGTACAAACAACCTCGCCGATCATGTCTTGGTGGAATTCCTTTGAAGAATTGCAGGACTTACACCAGTACGCCTACAACCCTTCTCAGGTTGACTATTGTAATTTGTGGAATGTACGGACACAAACAAGATTAACCAACAATTACATCAATTGGAACACACACAATTATTTAACACAAACATATGTACAATCAACACATCAAATGTTGTGTATTCTGGCACGGCAAACTACCCTTGAAGAACTGTAGGACTTACAGCAGTACGCCTACATTCCTTCTCAGGTTGATGATCCAAGTGGAAGTCGTCCGGACACAAACAGAATTACCAGCAGATAGATGAAAGATGATATCAATTCAGTATATGCAATATGAAAATATGTACAAAATCACACACCAAGCACGTTGGGCTGCTCATTGATGCGCTACCCTTTGAAGAATTGTAGGACTTACAGCAGTACGCCTACAACCCTTCTCAGGTTGACGCTGTAGGTTGGAAAATCGTTGCAGAGTTCATTTGCTGATTTCCTTCTATCGTCTATATCCTCAAATCTGAACGGCAACACGCCCATGTCATTGTATCGTAGAATATAGATGACGAACAAACACACGACATATCTCATCAACCAAGTGTAGAAACAGAGTAATTTACACCAAAGATAATAGCATTCAATTAGTAACTTGAAACTAGAAGTTCCTTTATTCATGCAAGTCAATTTAACAATTACTCTGTCGTTTACACCTGACTTATCCTCACTAAACTGAGCAATATCTTTCGTCTTTTCAAACGCACCAATACTATCATAGTCATTGCAGAAGATACTTGAGTTGATGGGTATCTGTTTCATTGTGGATGAAAACACCAACGATGACTGAGTGACACAAGGTGATGTTGGCGGCCTGCTTAAATCTTGGGCTACCAAAATTTCCATCCTACATATTGCATCTATTTCCTCGGATTTATTTTGTTTTAATCATTCAATTATGTATCCAAGTCGCATTACTTACTCTCGCGATTATTTAAAATGTCTTCAACCCTTTGATTTACGAGTATATAATAACGTTAAGAAAAAGCATCATGGAGGTTGGCAGAGATCATTAAAGTGTACTCCAATGCATCAGATGACTGTTCCTGTGATTATGAGCACAAATTGCAGGTCATTATCGAACAAGATTAACTACTTGCATTCTCTATTATACTCAAATGTATATTGTAATACTGGTGTAATCACTCTTCAAGAGACTTGGCTCCATGATTCATATGACGACAATTTAGTCTCCTTAAGTGGGTTCACAATCTACAGACAAGACCGATGCAGCTCGAAGAAGAAGAGAGGTGGTGGTGTTGCCACTTTTATTAATTCTCAGTGGTCTACTGCCAACAACGTCTGCTTCAAATTCTCAAATGACAATATTGACTGTATAACTGTAAAATGTCGACCTAAACACTTACCTAAGTATAGCTCCATTTTTGTCACAAATATCTATATCACACCTTGTTGCAGTCCCTCAGAACTATCTATCTTCGCTGATGAATTCACTATTTTTGCTGCTGCTTCGTTTGGTAACTCCTTATCTATAGTGACCGGCGACTTCAACTCCAGCGACTGCAGTTTTATTACATTGCTGGGCCATGAAAATGTTGTTAATTTCCCAACTCGACAAAATACTTCACTTGATTTAGTATTTGTAAATGATTCTGGAATATACGAAGCTCGTAAAAGAGCCCCACTCTTCAATTCTGATCATTGTATTGTACGAGTCTTACCCAAAATTTACGGAAAGTTACACAGTAAAGCCCTCTCAAACTTGTCTAAGAAAGTTGTTCACAGATGCTACTCAAATGAGAACGTACATCATCTTAGAAACATGCTCAGTGACACAAGATGGGATTTGTTTAATGTTGATTCACTTAATGACAATATCTCTAATATTACATCCTATCTGAAATTCTGTTTTGAAATCTGTTGTCCAAAAGAAACACTATTCGTCAAATTTGACCGTTTCTCCTCGCCTCAACTTAAAAAGCTTCGTAGAGAGAAGGAAAAACTATATAAAATCAAAGATAAAATTGGTGTAAAAAGAACTAACTTCTTAATTAAGTCTGAAATGCAGAGGTTGAATGTAATATATAACCAGAAATTCATGTCCTGCAAAAATCCTTCTAATATGTGGAAACTATTTAAGGAAATCACTGGTGGTAAGCAGATAAACAATATTCCATATTCTTTTGATGTATGTACTCTTAACAAATCTTTTATTTACTCTCCCTCAAATGCCATGCTTCCCAGCATCACTTGTGTTAATAATAGCCCCTTTCCAGGTTTTAACACAAATGATGTTCAAAAGTGCCTCAAGTCTCTAAACCCTTCCCAGAGCTTAGGTCCCGATTATGTACCTAGTATTATTTTTAAAAAATGTTCTGATATTCTGTGTCACCCTCTTACTGATCTATTTAACAAATCTTTTTCCGATAATATTGTGCCTGCCGTTTGGAAGGACATTAA